TTTTATCATTGAAAGTCTTCTTCCTTATTACAACTAAATCATTGTACATCGTTTAGGATTATAGATTCTCGCGTGTCCTGAGTGAGTCCGGAACACGTTTTCTTGTTCAAAGATGACCACCGAACCACCACTGGGTTGTCGACTTGTCGTTAGCGGTACAGCGGAAGTTTGGATTGATAACATCAGGGTAACCAAAGTTATCTTCGCTTGACACTGATCCTGCGACTGGCACGAATCCACAGCCAGTATGGCTGCTGTCAATGTGCAAGCTGTCTGTGTTCAGTAATTGCCACCAGCGAGCAGTCGTGTGGATGCCAATATGTCCACGGATGTTGATGTACTCGACCTTCTTGCACACTCCAGCACCGAGGTAGGTCATGATGTCAAAGTCCTTGAAGTTTCCCCTGACGTAGTCCCTGTAGTCTACCCCGTGTGTAGGGTAACTACACGTGGCTCTCCAGTGTGTAGAGTGACTCTTGATGGACTGTATACGAGACAATGTCTGCCGGTATATGTTAAAGTTGGGTGCATTCTCGTTGACGGGAGCGTTTGTGCTGAAAACAGCGGACTTGAACTGACTGAATGCGCGATTCTTGTTACTCCAAGACTCGACAAGGGTCCAGGCATTTCCAGGCTCGGTCTTCATATCACAATAGACAGGAAAGCTGTTGCCAGCGTTATCGTAGATCTTGTAAACACCACATTTAGAAACACCTTTTCTGAGGTAGTCAAGGCAAGATGTTGGCAGACGATATTGTTGGTGATGGGCGTTTTTAGGTTTGGGGCATGAATCACCCTTGAAAAAAAAACCAAGATCTCTTTCAATTAATTAAAGCTATATATAGGTTAGGATATTATAATCATTAGCAGAGCTAAAAAGTCCACCGAGGTTTAAGATTATACTTTGAAGTTTCTCTTTTGTTTTGCTTGCCAAAGCCACGACAAATGGTTGGCCAATGGGATGACCAAGATAAGTGTTTTTACTAATGCAACAAACTTAAAAACAAGGCTAACATCTGTTGCACATCTTTAATTCGCAGTCAAGGGTAAAATTATAAAGAAGAAATTGAAAACTCAACTCAGTGAAAGCTAACTTTGGCTTCTGGTTTACTTACTTGACATCGGACGAACAGTTTTTTGCCTTCCTTTTTCGGTCTTGCGGATGAAACCGAAGTCTGAAAAAAACTTCGTGTAAGAAAAGCGTATCTAATTCACTAATTTTTGACTAAAATCAGATAAAAATAATAGAACTATTATCTTACCAAAGTGACCACCACAAAAAGAAGCACGCTTAATAAAATCTTCATGTTGGAAAAGAGAAGAAGTCGAACAATTATCCACAAATCACTGGATTACGCTCCTTGAAGCACAAGAAAGCCAACTGAAATGAGTCCTGTTAAGTCCTGTTAAACGCTTTTATCTGTTTTATGATAATAATAATATTTATTGAGCGCTTATTTATTTCTGCGCTAAGCACTTTAAAATGAATAAATCATAATTTAAAAAATCACTGCTATAAATACATTAGAAACGGGTAATAAAAAGTAACTTATAAAATTTATGAAATATGAAACTAAATATGAAGATATATATTAAAACTATTCATCTAAGAATATATAATATTTTAAATATCATAGGCTTCCTTAAAGATATGMGTCTTTATTAATTTATCATTCCATAATTTAGGAACGTTTTCAAACGAATAAAAGCGATACAAATTTGACATCATCAAGGAAAAATATCTTGATAGATTTGTCAGAATAAATGGCTTCATCAAGTGATGTTTGCTTTTCGCTTGATGTTTTAGACCATAAACACGAAAAATTAACGGATTTTTGTTGTTATATAAACGAGAGCAGCCAACTTGGTGGATTGAATGTTTGTTCTTAAAAAGTAGATAGTTTAATATTTCTAGCCTGAATTGAAAACGAATCGGTTTTTGCATCTCATTAGTTCGTTCAAAACGCATCCCACATGGAAAGGAGTAATCAAGCGTGGTAAGCCATCAGCGATACAAGCGACATACTGGGTCTGCTGGTCATAGCAAGGGGTTAATCATCTACGGTCTAGGGGCCGACTAACCTCTCCCTTAGGCTTCGGCCAAGCTTTCTGATCAGTCTGTAAATCCAGGGATAGCGGTGTCGGGGCCGAAATCTCCGGCGTAGCCTTAAATGCTTCGCGCTGCCATACTGCGCTTCAGCTCTAGGTCTGGAGGTATGGTCCTAAATTCCCCAATCAATGAAAATAAGAGTAAATTCAACTGTTGAGATTTGCAGGCGCCTCAAACATGTAAAACGTCATTGCTGTTTTTGACGATATTTCGTCATTGAATCGACTAAAATAAACGTCAGGAAGTAATCGAGTATTCCAACTACTATCGAGCCGTTTCGAGATTTTCAAAATTGAAAAAGAAGGGAAAACAGCGAACAAAATTTAGTTTAATCCCTTTTAGTTAACTCTCTTTTACAGCTGTTTTTATCATTGAAAGTCTTCTTCCTTATTACAACTAAATAGTTCTACATCGTTTAGGATTATAGATTCTCGCGTGTCCTGAGTGAGTCCGGAACAAGTTTTCTTGYTCAAAGATGACCACCGAACCACCAATGGGTTGTTGACTTGTCGTTAGCGGTACAGCGGAAATTGGGG